CCTGCCAAAGTGGAGTATCTTGCATTTGTCACTGTTGAACTTCATTTTGTGAGTTTTGGCCAATCATCTCTCAAATCTGTCAAGATCGTTTTGAATCCTGCCCCTGTCCTCTGGAGTATTGGCTCTCCCTCCTAATTTGGTGTCGTCTTCAAACTTGATGATCCTGCCTTCTAACCCTTCATATAAGTCATTAATAAAGATGTTGAACAGTTGGTATTGCACCACCTGACATCCACTGGGGAGAAGCAACCTGTTGGTTGATTGATGGTTGGGAGGCGATAAAACTGCTCCGACACACAGCCATAAAGCAATAAACCAATTAGCTTTATTTACAGACTACGTACGGCAAGGCTGCATAATCTCACTCAACCTTTTTAACGTTTATGCAGAACACATCATGCGATGTGCGGGGCTGGATGAATGCAAAGCTGGGATGAAAATTGCTGGAAGAAACATTAACAACCTCAGATATGCAGATGACACCACTCTGATGGCCGAAAGCGAGGAGGAGCTGAGGAGCCTTCTAATCAAGGTGAAAGAAGAAAGCGCAAAAGCCGGGTTGCAGCTAAACGTCAAAAAAACCAAGATTATGGCAACAAGAATGATTGACAACTGGAAAATAGAGGGAGAAACCGTGGAGGCCGTGACAGACTTTGTATTTCTAGGTGCAAAGATTACTGCAGATGCAGACTGTGGCCAGGAAATCAGAAGATGCTTACTTCTTGGGAGGAGAGCAATGTCCAATCTCAGTAAAATAGTAAAGAGTACAGATATCAGACTGGCAACAAAGATCTGCCTAGTCAAAGCCATGGTCTTCCCTGTAGTCACCTACGGATGTGAGAGCTGGACCTTAGGAAAGGCTGAGCGAAGGAAGAGAGATGTTTTTGAACTGTGGTGTTGGAGGAAAGTTCTGAGAGTGCCTTGGACTGCGAGAAGATCCAACCAGTCCATCCTCCAGGAAATAAAGCCTGGCTGCTCATTGGAGGGAAGGATACTAGAGACAAAGTTGAAGTACTTTGGCCACATCTTGAGGAGACAGCAAAGCCTGGAGAAGACAATTATGCTGGGGAAAGTGGAAGGCAAAAGGAAGAGGGGCCGACCAAGGGCAAGATGGATGGATGGCATCCTTGAAGTGACTGGACTGACCTTGAAGGAGCTGGGGGTGGTGACGGCCGACAGGGAGCTCTGGCGTGGGCTGGTCCATGAGGTCACAAATGAACAACAACAACAATCGAACAACTCCTTGAACCCCTTGAGCCTTCCTCCAGCCACGCATGCTTGCCCATGACTAATTTGAGCTGATTTTCTTTCTTTTGCAGAATGAACAAGCTAAATTTCATAAACTTTCTTCAGTATGGGTAATCTGGTTACCAATGAACCAATTTATCTTCCCCAAGGGCATGGAACCACCAAAGCTCTGAACAAGGTGCATTCCAACAGAATATTTCGTTTCCAAGGTGTCACGTTTGAACAAAGTACCTCCTCTTGCCTAATTGCATTTTCTTTCTCTTTTCATGATATTTCCCAGATTATATTTAATTGAAAAGAAGCAGGCTAATCTTTCTTGAGCTGCACCTCACAAAGCAGTATTGATTCCCAATATTCATAGGCTTCATTTATTACAATAAATTTCTAGCCAAGGTGCCAAAAATCAAGATGGTCTCATTAATCTTACATGTTCAGTCTCACCATGAAAATCGTTTGGTATGATACTTGCATGAAGAAGACTCGGGAAAAGTGTTCTGCTTCTTTTGCTCTGCAAAGAGACATCTGGTTTTCCCCCTTCCATCTATCCATCATTTTTTTTCATAAACTGAATGAAGTGTTGTGGAAATACATGCAACTGATCTTCAAAAACATACAAGTAAACTGGTTTCATTACAGACAGTTAAAAGAATATTACATCAAAGACAAAAAATACCCCAGGATTCATGGATAAAGAAATGTTTGGGGTTTTTTATTTGTTATTTGTCGTGTCAGAGCAACAAGTCCATTGTATTACATTTCTAACAGAACAAAGCAAACAAACAGACAAAATACAAAACTTGTGAGTTTGG